TGCTGAACAGGAAGGAAGCAAAGCGATGCTGTGAAAAGCAGACTCAGAGTTTATCTTTGCACTTCCTCAACATCTGTCTTGCTACATTACGCATATCCATTTCTCCACCATAATGCAGTAGTGGTTCTTCTGAGCTGCAGCTAGCTTTAGAGGTGCTACAAAAGCAGCTTCTGTTGATGCAACATATGGATAACCTGACTGGATATGCCTTCCTCGTCCCCAGCCTGCAGATAGAGAAGAAGTTCCTGATTCCTCTCCAGACAGCTGAGGAATGAATCTCATTCAGATGTGGTCAACCCAGCTAAAAAGTGCTAGCCCACCTTGTCCCAACAATAGCATAGAAAACTGCATTGAACCTGACTCTTCCTCTCTAAAACACCCAATGGGCAGCTGGCACTTGTCTTCATTTAAATTTTAGGAATAATACCTTTTTGCTATTCTGCTTCTGGTTTACTAGACTATGTATAGCCTCATATACTAGCAGTTTCCTAAGAGCTGAATTTGCACATTATGCTCTGTACTTGGGAAGCAGGAATTTTGTATTCCTCTTTTATGATTTCTCTTTGTTTAATCTTCTTCAATTAAATCAATTAAGTTCAATTAAAGTCCCTTTAGGAAACTGTCTCTCCCCCGGAGTAAAACTGTAACTTGGGCAATAATGTCAGGGGGGTAAAGTTAAGTCTGGCTGGACTGTAAGGCTGACTGCCTTTAGCCATCCAAATGTGTTTGAAACAAAGTCTAAAGGAGGAAAATCTAGAGGATTGTATTTGTAGTTCATTTACAGATCCCATTGGATATACAACTAAAGAAATAATAGTCATAAAAATAAATAAGTAGCATTTCCCCTACATTTAAGATTTCTGCCTGCTGAAGACAGGAGCTATTTGTTCACCAGCACAATTTCTTAACCTCTGTTGAAACTTCAGGCATCTCCTGACAGAAGTCCCAGAACGTGCCTTTCCTAACACTGAATCAAAACTAGCCTCCGTTACCTCACCACTCACTGCTAAAGTTACACTAACTGGTTTATGGTCAGGAACTCTGAATGCTTTCCAGTGAGGCTGAGAGCTCAATGCCAGTATCTCCTGTAGATGCCAGCAGAAGTTGAGGTGGTGCAGCACATTGCAAACTGCGGGCCCGTAAAGCTTAACTTAAGAATGAATTTTAGTAAATTCCATAGCTGGCATCTCTTCCTAAGGGATTTATTGTGAGCAAAGGGCCTTTCTATGAAGTCTCTATTCAGCCAAAGTGGAAGGGAGGAGAGAAAAGGAGGTGGGTGGCTGCTGTTGGAAATGAAAACTTTTGAGGAGAATTGAGGGATGGACTTCTTTGGCTTTGTCTCCAGGTGTTCAGACGTCCATTCCAACTGAGATGACTGCAAGTGGATGAGTCACTGGGGGCACCTAGTCTTCAGACTCCAGCTCACCACTACCCTGAAAACCCTTCATTGTCATACATGAGGAAAGCACGTCTCTCCAAAAGCAATGCTCAACATTTTTCAGCAGCAACGTAATTGTTTCACGAGCTGGCAAAAAGATGGAGCTGTATTAAAAAGTCCTAATGGCAGGGAAAATTTTATGGCAAAAGGCTGGTCTGCGTTGTTTGCAGATATTACTAAGAGAGAAATTTTCCGTGTTCTCCCCTAAGGTTAAACAGTAAAATGAAAAACTGTAAAGTAAGGGTAGGAAAGTTGCCAAAAAGTGGGGTGTTGAGAGGGAGGAAAGAAAACTTCGCCATTTTATAGATGCAGAGCTTTAAAGAGCTTTAAATAAAACTCAAAGCTTTCAATCTGCTGAGGCCCAAATGTGGGACCAAGATCTGAAGTGAGAGACACTACATAAAAACAGCATAGGAGATTTTTAAAGGCTATGATGTGCATTCTTTTAGCAGAAAAAACTATATTTTGCCTAAAAACTCAGTTTCAAGAAGCTCATTTTGGCCGTAAGTAGTTTCCTCTGATTGCTGGTCATAGGAAAGGAAGACAAGATTGTCTTGGAAGAGGGAGGGCCATGAGGTTTTCCCTGCTGCGTCAGTGAGTGGCCGCGTGGCCAGAAGTAAAATGTTTACTTTCTGGCATGAAATTTCACAGTGCAAAATGGAAAGGATACTTACCTTCAGAAAGTATTTTGAGTCTGTGCACTGCTTGAAAAGTTATATGCCCAGTTATTAGCATAAAGGTGTGCTAGTGCACCAGGATTGAGTGAGGCTGTGACCTCATGCACAGGAATGTAACAATTTCATTAAATATACAGTATCCCCCTGGAAAGGATATAGTAGAATTACCTTAAAGTGTGATCATGTGTAGTAGCAGAGGTGTCCAAGAGTGGGGTCTCTGTCATGCCACTTCCATACATGCCAGAATTTATCCAAGCTGAACGGGCTCGCCTCTTTTTCTTCTCTTGTTCCTTACGTTTTCCAGGCTTTGCTTTCTTTTTCTTTCCTGATACCTTCAGGGGCTGCTCCTTGTAGGTCTGGGATTTGTTTGTCTCCTGAGTTAAGTATCTACCCTCATCGTCACTGCCAAATCGTACAGGGTAGTTCTTTGTGTTGGTAGCAGGCTTAGGGTTAGGCGAAACCTCTGAAGTCGCGCGGATTTCTGCAGTGTTGACACCTTCAATTAAATTTTGAAGGAAGATTCTTCTTCGTAAGTCTTGGATCGACTTGCCTTTGTCATGCAACAGCTGATGCTCTGATACAGCCCTTTTGCTAAAGAAAGAGAAGAGCAACAGGGGAAAAAAGATATTTAGAATTTAGTTATTGCCGGTGATTGGCACAGCTCCTCTCTCCTTGGGCAGCGGTGGCCACAGTGACTATGTACCAGCTCTCCAGCTTGGAGACATCCAGCTAAGCTAGACTGTTGGAGCAAGTTCTGCTCCTTGGAGTAGCTGCTCCCTGCTGAGAAGGGAAAGTCCTAAGCCACTAACAATTCGCAGCTGACTGATCATGCACCACTGGACTTGTAGCTGGATTAGTCACTGCTCTGTTCTAGGAAAGCATTAAAACTCTTAATATATCACACTTCAGGCAGTAAAACCAGGAAGGCAGTTGCCAGAGACAGGAGAACTAGGGGATCAGATAATGGAGCACTGCAGTCAAACAAGAGAGGGAGTAAGTACTGAAGCCGGAAGCAATGTTTATACAACATCATTCTAATAATTTTCTTCTGCTCAGTCACGTACTTAAAAAATATAAATAAATACATAAAAGTGCATTTCAGTGCTAAATTTAAGTAAGTGCAGTTGCAGGAGTGTAATGGAAAAATGTTCAGATTTGGGTGCCTAAAACATAGGCACTTCAGTCCATAATGAGATATCCAGACAGGCAGCCTGAGCATCAGCAGTGATGAGCTTCAGCCGCTCCTGTTGATTTTACGGCTTGGCCACTTGTGTCTAATTATGGTTTCAGATGCCTTCCTGATACTCCTTTAAGGGTGAATTTTTGGGGCTGAATTTCTTGTCTTCTGTGCTCTCAGGGTCTTATACTAGCCCTCCTCACTGAATCTTCCTCCAGAGCATCCTGATTTGCTTAAACAGGTTTCTGGTACTCTTCCAGCGTTCATTTACTGACCATTGCTACTGTGTCATTTTGGTTCACTAATATCTGTCTTGTTTTTGAGGAAATTGGGAGATGGCTTAGCTATCTGTCTTTCAGAGAAGTTGTACTGGCAAACAAGGTGTGAAACTTACAAGGAAAGAAGATGAAAGTGGCACCTGGATAATAACTAGCCATGAGAAAATACACGCTTTTTCCTTGCTGTGGGATAGATGTACAGCTGCACTGTGAACTACACCAAGAGCGCAAGCTGGGATTTTAGTTATGTTCCCATGAATGCTATAATACAGTTTATGCTTCCAATTGCCCTACTTCACTGTGCTGAGACTGGCTATGTATTCTCTCATCTTGCATCAGGGTACTGCATATGACTGGATCCTTACTAGCCAAAGAAAATTAATTCAGTGTCTTGTCTGTCATATAATAATTTGGTCAGTTAGCTGGATACACAGTTGTTTCTGAATGTGGGTGAAATGGGAGAAGGCACGTGACAGTGCAAGTGAATATTTCTTCCTTCCATCCCGTCCCTAATTATCCTGCTGTGTTACCAGGTTTCAAAATGTGATGGACAAAGATAGTATGCCAAATGATTGGAAGTGTTCTGTAATTTATCTTGCTCGGTCCTTTCAACCAAACAGTTTAGATCAGTGATTTGACCAACAGTTGAGCTGTTTGAAATTGGCAGCTTCAGGAAGCACTGGGTAAAGAGTGTCCCCTCCACTTTTTGTCTTTGTAGATCTGCACTTTGTGAGTATTGGGTTAAAGTGATCGTAACTTAGTGTAAAATTCAGGTGGAAACAGCAACTTTCACTCCACAATGAGACTGAAAGATAACCGTAGTTTTCACATAAAGTGATACAGTGAGCATACTTGCTCAAAATCAGGCCTAGATATGCTTGAAAGGTTTGTGAGCGCACATCGGGCCAAATATTGTCCATGTTTTACCTATCCCCAAATCAGATGAGTTTCAGAGGACTTCAGGCTTTAGGGCAAGCATATGCCCTTCAACTCAATGGCTCTAAGCAAAAACACAATGTGATAATACTGAGCTGAACCCATATTGTTTCATTCTCTTCAATGCAGCTGTGACCATTAACACAAGCTCAGGATCTTCCCCAGGAGATTTGTTTTGACCAGTACACTCACTGAAGCTCTCCAACAGCCATCTCTAACCACCTTCTTGTTAAGGTCAGTCTGATTTGCAAGTATGTTAATAAAACTAGCACCTTGGACTCTTCTGCGTGGCATACTTTCGCGCTGTTCCTCAATCTGTCCTTTGTGACTCAAATTACATTCCTAGCTTCAGAACTCTACTTTCCCAGGATATTTGCATGGGAAATGAGAAGGGTTTCTCCTTTCACTCTTCTACTTCTAAAAAACACACAAAATCTTAGTGCTTTACTGAGTTTAAAATAGTATGCCATATGTGATGAGCAAAGCTTTCCTACTGCCTCTTGTAAACTATCAAGGATAATTCCTTTTATCACAGACAAGCTAAAGCTGCCTTAATCCTGTAATGTGTATTTGGTCAATTTACCCACTGTTACAAAATCCTGACTCTCTTAAGCCTGTTATTAAAGGACTCTTGATTGAAAAGTTATTCCATTTTACAGAGTTGAAACCTAAAGATTTGGTTCCAATACACACAAGGCAGTCAAACAGCATTACAGGACCTACATCTTGTGTGAGTATGCATTTCCAAAATAATGCAGGGATTGACGTGTGAAAGTCAGTGTGCCAAAGAGGGTGGGTTTCTGTTTAAATGTCTGTATGATATTTAGCATCAAGTCTGGCCCCAAATAACATTCTGCTGTTCCAGATGATTGTATAACATTACGTAGTGTTACATTTCACATGACTTATTACTCAGTCAGACTCAAGGATTACATTTGGCCTACCAATTTCCTTTGTATACTGCAGATCAAAAATCTCCCTAAAATGAAGATGTGGTAGATGCATATCTCTCTGACCTTCTCCCTCCCTCAGCTTAGTCATTCAAACAATTCCTATGTTTGTAAACCAGAGAAAAAAGATTGCCTAAGGAGGCTGATGTAAGAAGTGCTTCATAAAGAGTGAAACAACATTTCACCCCCCCTCGCCACACACACACGGTAGGGAGGCAATGGAAACTGAAATAATTATATTCACATATTGAGTATGATATGTAAGAAATATTAGGCTGTTAGGGTTAAGATGACCCACTAGAGGTCCCTTCCATCCTTCTATAAAACACACTTCTCATTCAAGGAAAAAGATTCTGACCCCAAACCAAGTGCAGTAAATGCCTATGCTTACATGTGGCAGGCATTTCTGAGAGAAGGGTGGTGGTGATGGTTTGTATTTGACCAGAGTGCCCAAACTAATTATAGTATCCAAATATACTATGCACGTATGAGACTTAATGTCGCTTTATAAGGAAAAACTCTTAGTAGAAATTCAGGACTTCTGGCCACTCTGACTTCTAAACACTCACTTCCTGATAAGTTGTTCTTTTCAGACACATTTTTTGTTCATTTTTTTTCCACTAGCTATCTAGTGTCACTGAGAAGTAACATTATTCAAGCATCAGCTTTCTATCTCAGAATTGTTCTTATTTGACTGTTATTATCCTTGAATATTCATGTTGGGTCTGATCATAAAGTTCAGCAAAATAAGTTGAAAGGCTTCAGTGAGCTTTCTGTCTGGACTTTGCAGGGCTCTGAGTGTCCTTGCCTTGCACTGGCTCCAAAGGGAATGAAAGTTGCTCAGCCTATCTCAGGATTAGGAAAAATATTTTCAGCAGATTCAGGGACATAATGCTGCAGTGCCTGGGCATGCTGATAAAAATATCTAATTTCACTTTGAGGCATTACTGGGTTTCTCAAAAGTTCTTTAGCAGCTAAAGCATTTCTATAACAAATAGTATATCTGGCAATCTTTTCTGGGGCCAATTTACAACAGCAGATAGCCTTCTATAGGAGATTTGCCTTAGTAAGGTCTGTAGAACTGGGCCTATGTCATTTTCCTTATTTTTTGCATGACTATAATAACGTGCTTCAGTATTTTCACCCATTACTGGTTTAAGCCTTCCTTTGACTGAAAAAATATCTCTAGGTTTAAGTGAGTTATTAACCATTAACTCTAGGAATGGTTTGTGGTGATATTAAAACAGGACACATGTTTGAGTGTGGTGTCTGTGTTTGTGCTGTACCCACAAACAAAACTACGTGAATGCCACTAACTGACAGCTAACTGGTTTCTTGTGTGTGTTTTACATGCCATGGCAAAGAAGGAGTTGAGAAATGCATTTTTGACTATTTGGCTTTCACTTTTTCTTCCCTCTGTCAGGATAGAATAGGGACAGTGGGAAGACCTCTAATCTTGACCTTTAAAAATAGCCCTAGTTAGAATAACCCCAACTTAAAAAAGAGAACGAATATTTCTTTGCAAATCTAAACTGTCTAATAAATTTGGCTTAGCTCCAATTCAGAGTTTCTTAGCCAAGGAAATACAATATTTGACTGTACTTCAATTATTTTCATTTTTTATTTATGAAACTGAAGTTTGGGTTCTCCCAAAGCCAAAGAGAAGAAAATTGTCTCAGACAAAAGAAATAGTTCAAGGGTAGTTTGCAGGCGTATAAAGCAACTAAACGTTAATGAACTGGGAAGAATACACTGTAGCATTATCATCAATACAATGTTCTACACATTTTGCTGTAGGAGATTTATAATAGCTTTCCACTTGATGCCAAAGTTCGGGCATGTCTGAAGTCACTTCACCTGGGGGAATTTTTGTTGCTTAAATGGCAGAAGAAGAGATATCTGGAGCTCTTGTCCCTATGTACATAACGAAACAGTTTCAAGAAAACTATCTGAAGTTGTTTCCTCTGTCCCACTTCCCTGTATGGTATGATTGGATTTTCTGATTGTCTTTCTCCTGACTCCCTTTTGAGCTTAATAAAAACACAGCCCTCCACAGTAGAGATTCAAGGGTTCCTTCCCTAGAAAATCTGATGCAAGTCTGCCACTGAAATGCCCACAGAAAGCCAGCAAGCTACATGGGTGAGACAATTGCTCCTACATCAGCCCAGTGGTTTCTAGGCTGCACTTTGCCTAGGGGATGTTAGTATGAGCCATGTTGATTATTTTGGAAGAAGTAAAGAGGTCATTTCCTGAACAGAATCTCTTAAGCTACATTATCATGTATCAAAAACATATTTCTGCCTCCAAGTAAGATACTGGACTCCCTGTGGAAAAATTATTGCTAACGGGGCAGAAATCCAAATAAATTGCTCAGTACTTTCATGACGACCCTAACTACTGTGTATTTTCACCAGCCTTATCAATATTGGCTCCATGCCAGGGTGTAAAAAGGTATGTAATATGATGTCTAACATACAGAAGTTTAATGTAATGGAATGCTCCTTCCTAGGACTCCCCCAGGGTGCAGAAAGGTGCACGGGCAACAGCGTACACTGGACAAGCGTATGGCTGTATTGCTGCTTCCCACACAAGAAGACACCTCCAAGTTTAGCATTCCCTTCTCCAAAAGTGTTATAAGGTCAGAGAACTGAAAAGTGTCCTTTGCCTGGTGCAAGCAGCTGCTCTCAGAAGCCCCTTTACCTAAAACCAGTGACAAGAGCACCTGGGGCAGGTAAATCTGGAGCCACTCCCGTGCCAAGCTGCGCTGGGGAGTGCTGCTGGAGGCTGGGAAACCTACCGGGCTGCTCCCACTGCAAGCACTCGCCTTGCGGGCCCACGGGTGTGTGTCCCCACCGACTTCCCTCCCCACTTACATAATGATCAAAGCGAGAAAAGGGAAACTCACAGTCTGCGGCTGATCCCCTCCACTGATCTCCCGCAGCAGGGCATGGAATAGCTCAGCAGAAACACTGCGAAACTCCAGTGTTGGAAGAGTTTAGTGAACATTGTATCCTCCGGGTCTTAAAACCTGCAAGGAAAGGAAGATCAGTCCCGAGCGACACATGCGCCAGTGCCGTCCCCAAACGGTCCCTGCTTTCGGCTGCACCAGCTCCGAGATTGTGAAGGAAAAACAAACTTTCTGAACTCTCGGCAGCGGCTCCCTCCTTCCAAACTTTGTTCCGTCCTCTCCCTTCCTTGCTGTCTGCCTTTCTCTCTCTCTCAAGTTACTCGGAGGCAAGATCTCCCTTAATATTGTTTTAAAAAAAAAAAAAAAGTCGAGATCACATTTGCATCGGATTAAAGCGCGTGTCCGTTTGACTCCCTGAGCAGTGTTCAATTCTAGTCTGGAAAGCGGCTGTCTCCGGGCTTTATGTTACAAGGCAAGCCCTCTTTTCAGATAAGGAAAGGTTCCCCAAAGTCAGCCTAGCTATCCTCTTCTCTAAAACACGCGCGCGCGCGCGCACGCACACGCACACACACACACACACACAGAGGCAGGGAGAAACACATCTATACATCTATCTGTACCTCTGAAAAAAAAAAAAAAACAAAACAGGTTTACGTCTGTCGCTTCCGCAAAGTTGGGTCCACACTATGCCAAAGGAAAGTAAACTCAAGCAAAAGTGTTTTGTGAAGGTGGAAAGCCAGAGAGGTCTAAGAGGAGCAGTAGCCCGGGGAAGCTCAGAGGCTGCGAAACATGCTTGGCTGTGCAGGTTGGATTGGGCTGGAGCCTGCAATGTTCACACGCTCCGGAGCAGCCTCTGGGAGACCTGCAGGAGGACGGAGGGTTTTGCAAAGAGATGGCGCCCTAGGAACATGTGCGGAGCGAGCGAGAGCCCAGCGCGGGATACCCGCAGCCAAAAAGCAGACTAGAAATCAGCGCTTCCCAGGACCGGAATCAAAACGGAGCGAAGAAAGGGAAACACCCGGCAGCATATGCACGCAGCAGACCCCAAGGACTCCCGCCAAGCTCTTCGCATCTTCTGCAGCCGGGCTTTTCTCCCTCTCCCTCTTCGTGTTTACCCCTAGGTCAGCGCCTCCCCTGCCGCAGCACAGTGGAAAGGGCGATCCCCCATCAGCGGGGCACTTTTCAGATCAAGCCCAAAAGCCCAGCCTGGGATCGTTGCCGCCTTTCCTTTCACACACCTACCGTTGATCGTCGCAAGTTCGCCTATTAGCTGCAGGGCTGAGTCCTAATGATGTTAATT